AGACCACTGGGTCCCGAAGAAAATCATTATTATTTTTGGCTCACTCAGTACCAGAACAACGGTCCCAAGCAGTCCCAAGCTATTTCACTCACCCCTGCATGTTCTGCATGAATCCACACACCCCTGATGTTATCTGTCAAACTTTCATAGCGAATCAAAACAAACATAGTGTAGTAATAGAATTTCAACTAGAATAGGGTACGTTAATCGTTTGCTTGGGACCAATAGGCTACTAAAGTGGTGAGCCAATTTAAAATCGTTAGTTTCGTATTGATTGTTGGCAACACCACTACTACTGGATTGTACCATAGAGGTAACTCTAAGACCACTGGGTCCCGAAGAAAATCATTATTATTTTTGGCTCACTCAGTACCAGAACAACGGTCCCAAGCAGTTCCAAGCTATTTCACTCACCCCTGCATGTTCTGCATGAATCCACACACCCCTGATGTTATCTTTCAAACTTTCATAGCGAATCAAAACAAACATAGTGTAGTGATAGAATTTCAACTAGAATAGGGTACGTTAATCGTTTGCTTGGGACCAATAGGCTACTAAAGTGGTGAGCCAATTTAAAATCGTTAGTTTCGTATTGATTGTTGATTGTACCACATGGCAACACTACTACTGGATTGTACTAGCATTTTCACCAAATGTATTAGAATGTTTTGGTTCTATCTCTTTCACTCTACTCAAAACTGAAATGCATTAAAAAAATGACAAAATGATACACTCTTTGCACACTGTCAAAGAATCATTGTACACAAAATCAACTTTGTTCAAATCAAAACAAAAAAACTAACCCATCTGGTGGATGATGGCACAAGCTTCCAAGAAAATTCTATTACAGTGAACCACACTATTTTAATGGATTTCTTCGCCAGTTAGTCGTCTGTAACTTCGTTTGTGCCAATAGGCTAGTCAAGTAGTGAGCCAATTTAAAATCGTTAGTTTCGTATTAATTGTTGGTTTGGCTTTGGATTTCCAGCTGCATGAAACAAATCAACTGGTAGTAAGTTCAATATCATTATGATATTGATCCTACCACCAACCAATTTGTTCCGAACGGCCGGAAGTCCAAGCTGGTGCACGGGATGCTCACTATGCCCCACCTGCTTACTATGCCCCTCTTACCCCTAATACATAAAATATATGTAGTTTAAAACATGTTGGGACACTTTTTTGATTTCTATTATACCACATTATACCAATTTCCAACCTTGATACCGATAAACAGATAAAGTTCCTCAAGATACCAGAATACCAGAGAAGGTAAAGTGTATTATCCGGTAGAAATTTCCGGCTAAAATATGCTTCGACATGTACACAGGTGTACGTGGTGTACCGTGGACCCCTGCTAATCTGAACGACAATTCATTCAGATTAACGGAATCATTTTTAATTTGAACTTCTAGCAACCCTATGAGCATAAGAAAATCGTTTTTCTGGTAACCTTATTTGTTTTGTATTGACTCGGCGTTCCGTTTTAAAATGTTCCATTTCGCTTCACTCCGTTCCAGGACCTAATTGACGTTTGAAAATTAGCGGGGTTCAATTAAAAAAGTGATCAGATTAAAAACGGTCAGTATACATGGGAGTAAAAAAAGAAAATTCTCACCTCGCTACATTTCCTCAATCGGATGGGGAATATATTTTAATGACGGCAATAAGGATAAATTCTACCTTTGCAGGACGGAGTACTTATTACCAACTGGTGGACACTAACGATTTTAAAATGGCTCACTACTTAACTAGCCTATTGCTCCCAAGCAAATCGATTAACGTACCCCATTCTAGTCGAAATTCTAGCACTACACTATGTTTGTTTTGATACGATATGAAAGTTCCGCAGATAAAATGAGGGGTTCGTGGATTTTCCTATGTTTCGAGGGGTGCATCGATTAGCTTGGTACCGAAGAGAGTACCAGAGTTGAGCCAAATAGTTGAGCACGTTTCTTCGGGACCTTCTAGTCTTAAGAGTTACCTCTATGGTGGAAACGGACACGGAATCAGCGCATTTCTTCCATTTTGCCCGCATTTGCTGCATGTCCTTGACTGCCCCGCCGCTTCGTCGAAGTCGCTGCTTTGAAATTGCTCAGTATTTTTCGATTGGTAGAAATTCCGGGCAATTCTGAGGATTCATTAGCTTGGTGACAAAATCGATCTTGTTGGGAGCATACCACTCCAGAACCACCTTGGCAGCTGGCCAAATCGGGCCAAAAGATGACTTTGCCCCTATGGTTGCGGATGAACGGCAATACACGCTTTTTATAGCCTTCTTCGCGAACTTGTCGGCAAACACGAACTTGAATCTTCCCGGCACATCCCCAGTCGCGATGTAAAACTTTTGATCGGGAAGTTGCTTAAAATCGAGTTTGACATATGTTTCGTCATCGATCAAAGTGCAGTTCTTGTGTTTCGTCAAAACACGGTCGTACAAGAGCCTTGCACGCTTTTTGGCCACGAAAATTTGCTTCATGTGCCTGTGCGGATGTTTACTGGCTTTGTATGACCTGTATCCTTTCCTGGCAATGATGTTCCGCACCGTTTGAAAGTTGGCATTGTACCTTCTGGCCACATCTCAGATCGAAAGACCGGGGTTGGTTTTAACGCATCTCAACACCTTGCTGCGCAGCTGACGATCCCTGGTTCCAGTTTTGTTTCGTAAGTTCGCTCAGGGTTTCCTTGTAGGTTTTTAGCACTCGACAAACTGTTGTTTTCGGCATCTTCAGCACTTTTGCCAGCTTGGAACCGGACCACTCCGGATTTTCCAGGTGTTTCGTTGTTTATTTTTTTTCTGTTTTCGAGTTCCATTTGACTACTTTGATCAAACTTGCACCAGTTGTTCTCTATAGAAGTGTAAACAAACCACTGTCAAAGATTTTCGATTCCCAACACTAGAAGCGTGCTAGCGGCGCGCGAGGGGCATACCAATTTACTTTTAGTCAGCCTTTAAGAAGAGATTTTAATTCGCAGTTCATCAAAACTCTGGGACTCGAATATTGGAAATGCCGTACTTTTTAATTTCTAACTTATAATACAACAAATCAAGCTGAACATTGCATTGCATTCTCTTTGTATCCCCACGGCCATGTAAAGATATTCCCAGGTATTTTCAGCAAACAGATCGATAGAAGAAGCTTTCATCTAGGATCCAATACGACAAACACAACAAGAAACGGTCATGTGTTCAAGTCAGTGCGCAAAACAGTCAGGTTCATTGAGTCATTTTGATATGAATATGAACTGCCATCTGTCTCATCATTCACTGCCTCGTGAGAGTCTGAATGATTGAGAGGTAAACGAGCCGGCGCCGGTGGTGTAGTGGTAAGCGTGACTGCTTTCAAACACCCCGATGGGTCTGGGTTCAATCCCAGCCGAGGTCGGTGGGATTTTTCTGAGGCATAAAAATCTCTGGTCACGTCTTCCTTCGGAAGGGAAGTAAAGCCGTTGGTCCCGGCCCATGTGTGTTGTGAATGGGTACGATATCCTACCCAGGTGTGGAAGCTGCCTTCCTGCACATTCGATTGCCGTCAATGGATGGCAATCGATGTCCGTCGGTGATTGGCACTAGATTGCGGAACAGAGACCGACGTTAAATAAAGGAAAGAAATGAGAGGTAAACGAATCACTGACAGCCGGGAACTCAGTCAGTAGCTCAGTCAACACGTTTATTCTGCCGTGATGGTACCCAATATTTTGTTTTGAATGACTGAGCGTACATTTTCTATGGAAAAATGACTCATTTACATGCTGTGTGAGCGAAGGCAAGCGGTGTGCGTCACCTGCTCGTGAGTGACTGAATGTTTTTGTTGGCTCTTTCATTGCCTCGGCCTTTACCGTTTGGTATAAACGGTATGCACAGAGCAATGGATTGAATAGTGCAGTGCTTTCACATTCAGCCTAGGTAGTCAATAATTTTACGCTCTGGTTAAAGTTATTAACGAAAGAGAAAGATGACGAAGAGAATCGATCAATGTTACTTAGGACCTAATGCAATGTTCAGCTTGAAATGTCCGAGGAAAAGGATTTGAACACTTCAGAAATTTTATAAATCTTTGAGTCAAACAAATTTTTGAAACCTACGGAGATTAGATTTTCTTCACAATCTGAGGTTTAAAATCTAGATTCAAAGAATTTGAATTTGAAATGATTTTTCAATGCTAATTTTCCTTCTTTAAAGTATTAGGGGAAAAGTTGGCTTCGGCAATACCTTAACCTATTATCGTCAGGGGGTAAACAAAGTCCTAGAGCACTCAAATTGGGTTCTTTAAGGGTATTAAGTTAAATGCATATTCGTAATCTGCATTAAAAATGGAACCCAAACCCAAAATATCATCCATTTTGGTACACTGGAACTATTTTAAATAAGTATGATTACATTTGCAAAAATCACCTTATTACCGCCCCTCGGTGTTACTTTGTATGGGAGCGAGCTGTCAGTTTGTCAGTTTAGTGTCAAACAGGGAAGTTATTATTTACCCCGGCTTCGTATCTGCTCAAAATCACCACTCGGAAAAAAATCCGTTCCCGAAAACGGGAACGGACCGTGAACTAAAAATCACGGCCAGCTATCCAGAACAAAATTTTCTCAAATATACACCGTGAACTATGGTTCACGGCTGTGGTTCACGAATATGGGAACTCTTTTTTTCCCGTGCATTTTCAAGAAGCTCTTTGAAATGTGAAGTCAAAAATCTTGTACACAAACATACCTACTTTAATTTTCAAATATCTTCATATGTCTTCAAAAAATATTTTCATATTTTGTCTGCGAAAACAAAATGGCATCCTTGGTGCCCAGAGATTTTTTCGCCTCAGAAAAATCCCATCGACCACGGCTGGGATTGAACCCAGCCATTCAACCACGTCGATGGTCACCCGATGGCTCCGGAACATAAGCATATTTTAAGAAAACACGGTCAATGGGTCTAGGCAAGGTAGTTTCAGCAGGCAAAGGTAGTCGGAACATAGGACAAACAAAATTATAACAACGAAAATAAGGATAATAAATGCGTACTTTATTTGAATGAAAAAAAAAACGGTTCAATGACAATCGGTACTTTAATTTTCTGCTTTCTAACACTGCCACACATACACACGTACTACAACACACACGCACGTCTGTCTTTCTATAACACGCCGAAGCTGCGCTGGCACACAGTTCGTATCTATCTACAACTAACATTCTTTTACCATGTTGCTTCTATAAATTTTAGGTAGGTAGTTTTTTTTAAATAAAATAGACCGTTCCTGTTTAGGTTGTGTATACAGAATAGTATAGGTTCAATCAATCAATAGGATATGGAACGAGAGAGAAAGAGAGAGTGAGGGAAAGTGAGAAAAAATAGAAAGAGAACTATTTTGATATTTACACAAAAGAAAGAACATACAACAGACCTCATCTGTGTTGTTGTTTGCAATCATTCAAGGAAAGCAAAATCTACTAATCGCGCATTGTAATTTCTATAGATACAAATAAATGTTAACGGGGTTTTTACTTGGTACATGATCTGTGATTGATGCCTCGAGGAAGATCATTCGTCTTGATGTAAATGATTGATGAAAGAGACAAATCATCGCTGCAAAATAGGAGAAACAATTTCTATCTATCTGTTAAATACTTTGTTTTTTGTTTTTGTTTTCTTCAGCACATGTACAGTTTTCTGTTTCAAGCAGTCGAAGGTTTTTAGTACGTAGCGATTGTAAGTTATCTCTTTTCGTAAAACAAAACTTTAGCCAAAATACGGTTAATACTTTCTTGAACTATGATCGTGATCTTTGTCATTGCTTCGAAAATCAATGGAGCTTACATTTAAATTGTAGGTAAATTATTTGAATCTCGTTTTGCTTGCTCAGTATGTTTGTTTGTGTCTGTGTGTGTGAGTTTGTTACCTAATATCTCGCGGACACATACACTTGGTGTAGGCACTTTTCACGTGTGTTTATGTGATTTTTCATGAATATTTTCTTTGCTATATCTTTATCCTGTTCTTGTTTGTCCACTTATTTTTTTTCTTCTTTTAACCGGAAATAGTTGTTTATCGTTTCTATATATGGTGTATGTTTGAGCGAACTTGAACTTCTTTTCCTGATTTGCTGTACAATACGCGGACACACTCTTTCTGGTTCCTACTAAACACGAATCAGTCTCTCAACCATCTTCGGGAAAACAAACTTGCTTGATGGCTGAAATAATGTGCAAGAAAATGTATCCTTCGCTAACCATGTATTTGCTGTTCATCGGATGTTTCCTTAGTCCTCTTCTTATTTGTACTCTATATTTACACACGCCACACACTATTCACAATTGGTTTAGATATCGACGAAACACGTATAACAAAACCATAATCTCTTTCGCTCGTTTTATGTTGTTTCATGATTCGCTCTAACAACTAAATACTTTGACATTTTCCCTAATCTCTCTGTGTGTGTTATTGTTCCGACCGGGAAGGGCAAGCTTCCGTTTTAACGATTCATCTTAGACTTTCCCGCTTAGTTGTAACATGTTTTAAATATAATGTTTGCTTTAACTTATGCTGCTTACAAGTGTAGTATTGGTTGACTCTTTTCTTGTATTTATTTATCGCTTATTGTTAATAGTAGCTCTCACATGATCATCCCCTTGTCAGTCATCACGACTCTCGCTGAGCAACGTGTGTGAATCTTCGTCAGTTATATCATTTTTCTGCTTTATTATCAATCACAACGTCATTGCCATCGTACTCAACAACGCCTAACTAGGTCTATTACAGGCTTACACTCACGTGCGTAGGACCAGCCCATCACTGGTTATCTGAAGGAACCGCCACGGTTGTTGCCCCTTGACCTTCGGTATCACCTGTCCCGTTGGCATTGGCCGTGTCTCAGTGTCCCTTGGTGGCCTCCTTGGCGGCCATGATCAGCGGTGTTAGGCTAGCGAGCGGTCGTGCCAGCTTCAGGAAGGGATGCTGCAATTCAAACCAATGTTAATCAGATACAGGATAAGGTTCTTAAAAGTCACGGAAATAGCTTACCCTCAGCAGCTCGAAAGCGGTAGCTCGCTGGTCCACGTCTACCTCCAGACACTGGTCGAGGAAGTCCTGAAACACGGGGCTGAGCTTTTCCTTTTCCTTGATTTCCGGTTTGCCATGCGTTGCGATCAGGTAGAGCGCCCGCAGCGGATTCTCGTTCAAATACGGCGGTTCACCTTCGATCATTTCGATGGCCATGATTCCCAGGGACCACAGATCGACCTTTTTTGGGACGAAAAGAAGGTTGAGATAAGCATTTTAGTAGTCGTTTTCGTGGCCAGCTTTCTGTTCGGCCTTCAAACCCCAAACAGATTTTCCGAACTGCACCTTCAAGATCTCAGAGCTTCTCATGGGAGATTCCTGAACTTCTATTAGAAACAAAACTTGACATTTTCCCAAAGTCCTTTGGAGCCCTTTTGGAGATCTGAAAACTTTTGCTAGAAGACCTCCGAATTTACTCATGCCTGAATCGTTCTTAGAAAACTTCTCAATAGACCCTAAAAGTACATTTAACATTCACTTGAAGTTCCATGAAGATAAAAAAAAATCCATAGACAATGGTGGACCTCTTTATGATCTTGCTCTTGACGGCTTCCAAACTTCTTCCCAGAAGTTTCAGTATTTTTGACGTAGGATTACATTTTTCGGCAACTTATTGGGGGTGCAATTTCAGAAAACCAAAATCGACCGCATTACGAAAAGAGGTCAGGTTTTGACCACATATATCTCTGTCAATAGCAGATGGATTTCAATTCTAAACAAGCCAAACGATTGGAAATTTATCTACCAATCTGCTAATATGAATACTTTATTAATCCTGATGAATGTGGGCGTCTTAGTGGAATACCTGTATAAAGAGAGCGAGAGAGAGAGAAGGATTAGTAATTTCCATTTAATTCCACTACCTTATTTGCTTATCCTTGACAGATACGCGTATTTCGTCTACAATGTGCAGACTTCTTCAGTGTGTTGTACTGACTGATTACTAATACCAGACACTGAAGAAGTCTGCACATTGTAGACGAAATATGCGTATCTGTCAAGGATAAGCAAATAAGGTAGTGGAATTAAATGGAAATTACTAATCTTTCTCTCTCTCTCTCTCTCTCTCTCTCTCTCTCTCTCTCTCTCTCTCTTTAAACACTTTATTAATTTTCAATAGGTCACTATTGAAAAATACACAAATGTCCAACTGTTGTAATGGTGATCAAAAATATCACCGTTTGCCTGCAAACAGCGGATTCCCTAACGATCCTGTCTCACTGAACGGTGCTCATTCAATCACCGTGTGTGGTGGTGTCCGGTCGTCGCGTCGGTGTCAGCAGCAGCAGTATCATCAGCAGCAGTGCTTTCAGCGTGTGGCCACGCTATGTCTGAAGGCACTTTTTTTGCAACATTGATGTACCTCAGATTTGTCTTCACAGGATGTTAGTATTGATTCTAACAATCAAATCTGTGATGGTTTTAAAATATTTCATCTTGGGTTTTTTTTTAGAACAAGTGTTTTGAAGTTTACAAAGCTCATTATGAAGGCGTATATGGCCTATTGACCATACAACAGTCAAACAAGGTTAAAGAAGTTTTCTTTGACTCCCAAGTAAGATCCATATTGATTTTGTCGACTTTGTGATAAATCAATTAATATTTGTTCGTAGCACAATATCTTGTTTAATTTCTCTTCCCTCATAATAGTAAAAGAGAAAGAAGCGAGCAGGACAGTCCGAAACAGCCACGTAATCATAGTAGGCGTTGATTTTCGTCTTATTTCGAGTGTTTTTTTTTATGGATGTATCGTGTAGAAAATCTGGAAAAATTTAAAAAATCTCATGAAGAAAATAGATAGCTCGCTTGTCGTGATTCGACAAAAAAATGAAGCCACTTTAGTAGCGACGATCGTTGAAAGATTTTTACCGGAGTTAAATAAAGGTGATAGTAGGTATCCGAAAGTTTTGTGTCTTGTACTCAGCAGCTGGCAAAGGTGGCATTTACCACTTAATCATCCTGAGGGGCGGAAAATTTGCTTGGATTTTTAAAAATAAATAGATATGTTTGACTCAACGGTGAGATCGAAAATAAATTCTGGCAACCATGACGATATTTTTAAAAATCGTTTAACCGATAATGCCGATAATACAGGAATGAAACTCATATGAGGTTAGTTACTCTTGCCCAGGGAGTTTAGACAGCCCTCACGTTGAATTACTAGAGTTCCTAGAGCTTCATTGCAGTTCCCATATTTTGTCCATGGAAATTTTCAGGAAGGTTCAGCGACCTTCTAGGAAATTCTGTAGTGAATTTTAGGAAAGTACTGCAAACTCTAAATAATTTCCGCCAATAAAACAGAGAAATTCACCAATTTTCAGATAAGTTCATTGAACTTCAGGGAAGTTCTACAAATTTCAGGAAAATTATTAAAACTTTAAAGATGTGCTTCGATCTTCAGAGAAGCTCTATAAACTATAAACTAAAAACTTCATGGATGTTTTGTGAGTTTCTGGGGAGTTCAATGTCGTTCTGGTAAGTTCTACGAACTTCAAGAGAGTTCTGTGAACTATAGCAACATTATATGAATTTCAATAATGAAGAAATTTTGGAAAACTTTAGGATGGTATGTGAACCACAGGGAAAATTTAATAACATTAGGAAATACTGTGAACTTTAAGAAATATCTGAGAATTTCAGGAAAAAAAAGCCAAACTCAGAGACGGTCAAAGAACATCAAGAAAGTTCGAAGAATTTCATCGAAGTTCAAGGAAATCAAGGAAAAACAGGGCTTTGAATTTGAATGTAACTTCTATAAGCTGTTTCATCGGGTCGTTGGTTGAACAACTCCTACTCTATGTCTTAGAAAACAGGTATAGTAGAAATAATTTCTTGTGATATCTCTTTCTCTTTTACGCTTCCCTTATGAAATGTGATCGAGGGCATGAGCAGAGTAAAAATGAGAGTTCGCCACGAAAACAAATATCGTGAATACGACTCACGCATGTTACATTGCCATTTACCGGTATAGAAAAGGGAGCAGTTTATGAAAATTGAGGTTCACAAATATCCAGAAGAAAGATGTTAACAAGAAATTCAAACCAAACTCGACAGTCAAAGATGTGCGAGTTTGTAGATATTTGTTAGAAAAAATCAACGCAGAAAAAAAAAGAAATTCATAAAAATTTACGTATTATGTCTGACGCAGCTTTCTCCTATGAAACGTCATGCATGTAGTGGAAACCACTTTTTCGCCAAAAGCAGGCAAAAAACTAGCCGAGGTTGTTTTTGTAAACGTCGCAGGAAGACCAGGAATCAATGTTTTTCAATATAAAATCCCAGTTTTCCAATAATATTTTTTACACGAATTTTTAATAACCTTTCATTAAATATTTTGATCATTGAAATCAGGCCAATAGTTCAAAAGTTATAAATTTAAAAAAGAGGCATTTAAAAAATAAAATAAAAAATAAACGATTTTTTGGACTACTCTAACGTTGAAATGGTCACCCTGATGACACAAACTAATATAAAAATATTTTGCGATAAGGAATAAAATTACAGTTTTTTACCAAATTCTAAGAACCACTATATCGTTTTGCAATGGAATGGCTGAATAATAGTAAATTTAGAGACTACACAATTGATTAATTATTTTATTAATTTAAACATTATGAGATCATGACAAAGCTACGATATCCTACGGTACCGAAAAGGGAATCTTACTTTACCAGTATTTTGACAACTTTAGTGACATTTTGAATCATTTTCAGCTGAATTTGTTTCGATCCGTAACAGTTCTGTATCATCAATAGTTCGTATACGCCTTTGTAAACGACTAAGTATACTTCAAAACACTTTTTCTCTAAAAACCCAAGATGAAATATTTTAAAACCATCATAGATTTGATTGTTAGGATCAATGCTAACATCTTGTGAAGAAAAATATGAGGTACATCAATGTTGCAAAAAAAGTGCCTTCAGACATAGCGTGCACCGTCACAATTACGCGTTCATCTAGATAAAATTGATAAATAGCATATTTTTAGCGATGGGCCCAATCTTAGATCCATAGGCCAACATTAGAGCCATTTACCCTATATGAAAATTTCATAAAACAAAGATGAGATATTCGAATCTCATACTTGTCAGAGGGTTTTCCTTATTTTATACGTGAGCAGTGCTTTAATGTATCTTGTATCTATGTAGGGGGAAATAGTTGTAATGTCGGCCTAAGTGTCCCTAATTTGGGCCTATACATAAATTCAGCACAGAACCGATCGGCGTGAAAATTGGTTTGCAGGGGTTTTGGGGCCGGGAAAGGTTCTTATGATGGTTCGATACCCCTCCCCCCTCTGTAAGTGGGGGCTCCCATACAAATGAAACAGAAATTTCTGCATAACTCGAGAACTAATCAAGCAAATAGAACCAAATTTGGCATGTGGCGGTCATACGGTCTAGCCCCTGTGATAAGAGGGAAAGGAGGGCTACGTACAATAGAGCATGCTTTTTTTTTTGAACCGGTGCATAAACTTAAGCTAGTAAAATATAAATTTAATTTACTCTTGTTTAAATTGCACTCCATCTTAAGTTTTGAAATTTCGACCTTTTTCCATACGATTTTTTGGTCATTTGAAGGTGATTTCTTGAAGAGACCAAAAATGATCACAAATCTCGAATACTGTTGCGGCATCGTTCATTAAGTTGGAACTCCCAGTTGCTGGACTGTAGTAAACGTTGAATTCCAGTTACATTGTTGTATGTTTTGCGGGAGCTGATATTTATGCACTTGAAATTTCAAGCGATTCACCTTAAGTTTCCCTCGAACTTTCGCCCGTTTGTCCATTTAAACTATTTATCCATTTGCGAAAGATCAAATTAAACTTATAGGGACAAAAGGCTGAATGGACAAAAGTTGACAAAAATCGTAGAACAACAACTTTAGGTAAATTTTTTATTCTTTTTTTTCTTTGCTATATGTTTCTAATTTTTGCACAGAAAACAACTTGAGAGGTCTCAAATATACTAACAAAACGTTTAAACATTTTACCAAAAGTTTTTTGTTCTGCGATTTTTGTTAATTTTTAAGATTGCAAAGTTTTCAGTAATTCGAAAGTTTGCATTTCTCATAAAAAGATATCAAAAATGCTGAACAAGGACATTTTTGGTTATTTGAGTTTTCAACACTTTTTTCGGACTTTCTACTCAGGATTACTAAATTACCAGGGAAGGATACAAGTCGTACAAGCCAGTAAACATCCGAACCGGCACATTAAGCAGAATTCCGTGGTCAAAAAGCGTACGACAATGTTTTGACGAAACACAACACTGCACTTTGATCGATGACGAAACAAACGTCAAACTCGATTTTAAGCAGCTTCCCGGTAAAAGTTTTACATCGCGACTGGAAGATTCAAGTTCGTGCTTGCCGACAAGTTTGCAAAGAAGCCTATGATTCGGCAAACGATTTGCAGTTGTGGCCTGAAAACGGAACCATTCGTCACATCTTCGGTTTACATCGAAGAATGCCTGAAAAAGCGTGTATTGCCGTTCATCCACAACCATAGGGGCAAAGTCATCTTTTGGCCCGATTTGGCCAGCTGCCAAGGTGGTTCTGGAGTTGAGATTTTGTCACCAAGCTAATGAATCCTCAGAATTGCCCGGAATTTCGACCAATCGTAAAATACTGAGCAATTTCAAAGCAGCGACTTCGACGAAGCGGCGGGGCAGTCAAGGACATGCAGCAAATGCGGGAAAAATGGAAGAAATGCGCTGATTCCGTGTCCGTTTGCACTTTGCGGGTGCTGATGGGCTCCATCAAGAGGAAGGTTCGAGATTTCGTTTAATAAAAGTAGTGTAAAGCAACCATTAATGGACTTTTTAAACTTATTGAATCACGAATTAAGTGATTCACGAATCAGTATGTGGCTTAGTTCAAGATCAAGAGCACATTGCTTTCCAAATCTTGTTTTCTCAATCCCTACCCTTCCATCCATTTGTTACAATTTGTTACCCCTAACCTCGAGATAGCCGCGAGTAATCGGCCGATGCTTTACTAACGTTAGTTTTAAGTAAGTTTGCTATCTAAACAATGAATATCGGCTCCGCAAAGCTACAGCAAATTAGACTAAAAAAAATAAAAAAAATAAAGAATTACGGGTCTTTTTGTGCGTACCAACCCAACTAACAATTTTCACAACGTAAACGCTTTACTCATTTCATTTACATAGCCTTAAGTTGTATTCAAACGTTATACGAAATGAGGAAACCTTTACTCAACAAATCTGGCGAACTTAGTCAGCTACTTCTGGCTGTTGTGACGGTTGGGACAAGCTATTATTGCATATCCATTAACGCTTCTGTACAGCTGTTTATCCTGCTGTTCAGTTGTGTGTCAACTTGAAAGGCGCTTATATTCAACCTTTTTCCCGGTTATCCAATAATCACTACACAGCTTTCTCTTGAAGCCGGGTTAAATACTGTTTACGCTTTTTTATGGAGGAATTTATTGAGTTTATTTTGCTGTGAATCAAATTAATCGAAATTAGTAACAAGTCATCACCAAATTATTTACCCTGCACCGGAACCTGGAATCGAACTCGAGACGACCGCATTGGCAAACCTTGACACTACCAACTGTGCTACGCCAACACTTTGAACTGATGTAAACAAATCAACATGCCCTTCTACAACAAAATCGCTGAGTAGAGGCTTTATAATAGTGCACATAAATCACTTTTCTCGACTAGTTACTTCAGCTTTGTAAAGGAGCAGAGTAAAAGCTGTAAAACTGCACACGTCTAAAAATAAACCTAGTTGACTGTGAAAATGTTTCCGAAGTAGCTCTAACACAGTTTATTAGCTGAGTACAGGTTGTTTAGTTGTTGAAAAAGCACTTTTGATGTTTATGTTATTCAGCAATAGTGGTTGGTTGTGTAGAAGCCATCAAATGAATAATATATTCACAATATTAGCTTTGTTTTGCAGTAACAAGTTGAATGTTGATTAGTATGTGTATAAAAGAGACATTAGCGTTTTATTGACTGTTGTTATTCAGTGCGACTGACAAATTGAATAATGGTTGTGAAAAAGTTGAGTAAACGCTCTCCAAAATTATTTTGCTAGCTTCTGCTTGTAGCTGTATCTGCAGCTTCTTTTCAGCTACTTTACAGCACAACGCTGGAAAAGTTGGCTTATAAAGCTGAAAATGTTAGTTGGGAATTTACTTTTAGTCAGCCTTTAGTGCAAAATATGTCGTAGTGTTTGTGAAGTATACCTTCCGTGACGTCAAAATCCAATTTTTTCATGTTCATTTTTTAGGAGTTTTTCACATCACCGATTGTTTACCTCTTTTTTTGCTACTAATACCAACAAATACCCTCTTGTGCCACACCTGTATATACCTCATTGGGACTAGTTCACGTTGATTATTTATCAACTTGTCACTCCCAACATAATTTACCCATTTTTGAGTAGGTTCAATTTAGACCGATCTGGGTGGATTCTACCCAAATTTTGCTAATCTTGAAATGGCCAAATTTTAGCACACATATCACAAATGAATGATAGCCCGTGACAAACAATTATGCAAAGTTTCATGCAAATCGGTGAAAGTCGTGTCTGAAGTTCAATTTTTTTGGCTATTTGGCGAAAATAGTTTTTGGAGACCCCCCGAACATAGTCTAGGATCCTTAGCAACTTTTCCATAAGGAGTTGTTTTAAACTACGTAGGCAATTTTTGAGAAGTTTTAGACAAACCTCTCCTCGTTCATATCCGCAGACGATCTTCATTATTTTTTTTTGAAAATTTACATGAATCGGAGACACTTGCCAAGCTGTCTCCGTGGTTTGTGATATGTCTTATGAACTTTTCCTGGATGAACTTTCGTAGTAAGTCATCTGAGTTTCCACTAGAAGTTTTCAGAATTTCGCCTACATTTCCATATTCTGTTGAAGTTTCTTTGAAAGTTTCAAAGCAGGTTGACCTTAAGAATCCCCGAGGAATTGCCATATGTAGATTGACAAACTTGAGATGGACCAAACAGTTGTGCTACCATGGGAAGGAAAGGGTTAAGGAAGATCAGGAAATATATTTCCGCAAGAAGCATTGGAAATCCTTCCGGGGAAGTTTTTAAAATATCTGGCGAGTTCAGAAAACCCCTTTGGGAAGTTTGCTGAAAAATTCTTGAACGAACTAAGGGAACCTCAATACGAGTCTTCATGAGCAACCCACCCCCTTAACCACGGGAGGAACCTCGGTGAAATCCGATATTGATTTATTTACACTGCATATAAGTTCATTCAGTTCACTCACCTTCGGTCCGTACTGCTTCCGCGTGACCACTTCCGGTGCCATCCAGTACGGCGTACCGACCATGGTGGTTCGTTTCGATTGCTCCGGCGAGATTTGCGCACAGAAGCCAAAATCCGTCAGCTTCACGCTGCCGTCCAGCCCCAGCAGAATGTTATCACTTTTGATGTCCCGATGGATGACCTGATTACTGTGGAGGAATTCCAAAGCCTGAAGCACTTCGCGGCACACGGCCGCTATCTGGCCCTCGTCCATACACGTTTCGGTAACCACGTCCGTCAGTGACCCACCCGGCAGGTATTCCATCACCACCCAAAGCTCTTCCGACACCAGATAGCTGTCCAGATAGTTAACCACGTTGGGATGTTTGTTCTCTCGCATCACCAGGATTTCGTTGATGATCAGCTCCTTCTTGGGCTGTTGGCTGAGGTTCATCTGTTTGATGGCCACCTCCATGCCGGTAGAGCTTTCTATTGCCGTATACACAGTTCCCGACGCGCCCTGCCCGATCTTCTCCATTTTGTTGTACTTTCGCTTAGGATCGCCCACGCTGACGATGGTGCGCAGCTTCTCCAGGATCTCCTCGTCGGACATTTTCTTCTTTTTGGTATTGATGCGCTGCTGACTGGGGGCTTCATTGTTGGCCGTCGTTGTTGTGGTGGTGGTGGTGGTGCCACCGCCTACGACGGGGGGCACTACCGTCGTCGTGGCCGTCGTCGTCGCCGTCGTCGTTGTGCCCGTTGGCGTCGCTGTTGGTGAGGATGGACATGTTGTAGATGAGGTGGTTGTTGAAGTTGTGGTAGTCGTCGTAGGAGCAGTTATCGTTGCAGTCGCAGTTATCGTCGTCGGAGAGACGGTTGTCGTAGCCGTTTCCGTTATTAGTGAGTCGGTTCTATTGCTAGTTGGTGTTAGTGGAGTTAGAATTGTATTATCATCGTTACCTTGCAGTTGGCTGTTGGCGTTGTTAAGATTGCAAGCGGCGACGGTCGGCGTTTGGGGTACGGCCGCGGCGGTCGTCGAGTTGGTGTTCACCGTCGATGTGAGGATCGTCGTCGAGTTCTTGTTCTTGTCGAACGTGGGACTGCGCACGCCAGTCGTTGCACTGTTGCTGAGATGGGGAGGTACTGGTGGTGATATCGGTGCTGGGTCATCGATAGGCCTCGTGTACTGCGGGATACCGGAAGGAAGAGAAAACAGTTAGCTCATGGCTACATATTGATGGATATTCATTACAGTCAGCCTGCAGTTGTGGATCAGTTTATAACAATCATCAGTCAGTGTTGATTGAATGGAAGTGATCCATAACTAGGGGCGGACTGTTATTTCTTCTGGTACAGATGATTTTACCCCAGACAAACAGATATATAACTCGCAAGTTGTTCATCGAACACGCATTTAACGGTTAATTTAAATGCTTTTTAGTTGGTAGGACCGCCACCTATGGCGTGCATAGTCAATTCCCTTGCGTTTGACGTTTACACATTACCGCCATCTGATCAGCGTAGTGCCCATCACAGTATACTCAACAGATGGCGGCAGTGTTTTAGCGACGATGTTCTATTTTGAAAAATATTCAATGTCTGTTTGTCTGTGATTTAATGATTAAAAATGAATTTTTAGCACGAAAATCGATAAACTCTGTTCAACCAACTTCTTAGCTTCTTTGTTAAGATCGGAGAAATTTGACACATTATTGTATGGCGGGCTACCTTCTTGGATCTTTCTACATTTTTTCTTCTGTTTCATCCTCCTTTTAAGCGTTCGTGAGATTGTGTTTGGAGATCTCTATTCAAAAATTCGGAAGGATTGGTTCATAGAGATCTCCAACCCCAATCTCACGAGCACTCAAATAAAAAAAAAGGAGAAAAAAAGGAGAAAAAAAAGGAGAAAAAAAAGGAGAAAAAAGAAAAGAAGAAGAACCAAGAAGGAACTCTGCACTATCACAACTACTTAAAAGATTCCTGTGGTCTTACGCACACTCTTGTGCATCTGAAGAGCTCTATTGCATATTTTTTGGTGAATCACTGTGGAAACCTTATTTCTGATCAATCTCATTATCACCGCGAAATTTCAAGAGCACAAATATCAGCTCTCACAAAACATATAATCATGAAACTGAAACTTCACGTTTGCTACAGTGCAGCACACAAGGAGTTCCAATTTCAAGAGCGATATCGTAACAGTGCCCGAGATTTGGACTCTATAAAACTTGAAGTGATAGGGCATATCAGCCATCATGACGGCCATTGTTGGACGCTTCAAGGAATCACCTTTTGCGTGAAGATATTTTACAGTTCAAATTTGCACAACATTTCTAAATAGAGCTGTAATTAGGGCGGAACAGCTTTAGGGCTCGCTCACGCAAATCATCACCATTCCCCTACCCGATGGTTAGCAATCATCGAGAGAAGTCATTGTTTACAAAATCTATTACGGCATAATTCCAGCTAAATCTAACTTTTAGATTCTTACACCTACCATCAAGAGCAGTGACAACCGATCAATCAAGCTCGTCAGCTGCTTTTGGAACGCATTGGTTATCGTAAATATTTCCTGGAACATTTTTCGAAAATTCAGCAGGCAGGTGTCACAAACAAATAATCACTACACTTCCATCGCGTTCTAATGCACGTTCGGTACTAATTTCCCCGTTCGTGGTACGCATCACATCGGAGCGTTCATGGGAAGGTCGGAAGAACTTTGTGAGAAAACACGAAGCGACCGATTAGGCAGATTTTCAGTAAGAAGAAGAGAAAAATGCAAACTATTTTAAAAATGTTGGGACACATTACGGTGCAAAACTAGTCTCTCAGGTAGCGTAATGAACAGGTAATAGGCAAGAACTGGTTAACGTGCATCCAGGGATATGTAAACATAAAATTCTTACAAGAAACGGAAGTGCACAGCACGAGCACGAGGTGGTTTTGTTTTATTTTGATCATAAAATCAGTTTTCTCTCTCTCTTCCATAGCTGCTTCAGGTATCGTACACAAATGTCGCCAACCAGTGATCTGACTGGAACAACTAGACGTCTTTTATGGATCTGTCCTGACCAAAGAAGCGAATCAGGTAGAAAATTTGGGGAGACCCACAAGGATAAAGCATTTCTGTACGTGCCTTTTGGAATTCATATCAGGTTTTCCCAGACAGTCAGAATACTGAATCGCCTTACTTATGTTTTATCAATGGGTTTAAGAGTAAACTAAAAATGACAAACAATTTCAGGAAGCTATTTTAGTCGTTTTTGTTGTTTTGAGCATTTCTAGATTTTTCAAAATTCTACTGAATTAAGTTAAGAGACCAGAAGTTTGTTATTTTTAAATATGTAATAGATTAACCAGCATATCGTAGCACTACGAAACATTTTTTACAAGGTAATTATTTACCTGCTAATATTGACATGGTCGTACTTCAAAACGGACCGTGCAGTTAATAAATGGCAGACGAAAAATAAACAGAGGGTCGTCCTCTCGTTGAAAACTTTACTATCCTCTACGGGTACCCATGCAATAAAATAAGAAAGAATCCTTCAAAAAATCATCCCCCTAATCGGAACCTCTTGATGTTTAGATTTATGGAAGGCGCCTCCAGGGGGAGACTACAGTCAACTGAACCTTGTGCATACCTACCATACCACACAGCACAGTATGCTAATAGGGTAACGCGCTGCTTCGTAGTAAACGTCCATTTTCGTAATCGAGCAGAAAACATAATTCTAGATAGAGCTGGACTTAGGGCGTAACAGCTTCTCGATGATTTCCACGAATTCAAGGCACACCCACGCAAACAAACATAACTGTCGGGTAGGGAAGCCATCCCCTACCCGATGGTGATGTTGATTTGCGTTGGCGAGTCTTGACTGTCTACAAATCATCGGAAGAAGCCTTTGTTTACAAAAGTTGTTACGCCCTAATTACAGCTCTATCTAGAATTCTTCTTCTTCGCATTTTAAGCTTATTGCTTATCGCATATTAGCTTATTGCGTGCTCTCAACTTAGAGTTCTTGATTCACTTTCACAGTTATAATGGAGAGTTTTCGATGCCTGTACCATTTTTGCATTTTCAAAAGAGAGGTAAAGTGCGGTTTGTGCTTGGTAGAACGGAAATGAGATCAAAACCCCTATTTATGCAAAAAGTTCAATACTCACGATGGACTTGGTCCGCTCCGGTCGGCTCGCGATCGGCGGCGGTATTCCATTGCCGCTGATGCTGCCACCACTGCTGAGCCCACCGAGTTCGTCGCTGTCGTGCTCGCCGGTCGAATTGTGATGGGACGAGAGCGGTCCTAAGCTGTACGCCTGCGAGTGCGAACTGGAGAGGTGCACCTGGCCAACGCCACCCGGGCCGTGGGATTCCGAATCCGTAGGGGTACTGCTCGGACTGCTGCTGCTGACTCGGCTCAGCGAGGAACCTATGGACGAGGCTAGAGTTGAGCATTAATAATGTATTTATTCACTGCTGATGCGCGGATTTAAACATGTTATACGGTTTACACGCTGAGATCAGATAATCCAAATCTGGGTATAGTTTACCCGTAGCCCCATTGAATCGGCTGAAACCGGACAATAAGGGTAATTTGCTTGAGTAGAAAAATTTGGTTAAATTTAAAGCAGTATTCTCATGAAGAAGCAAACTCCAAGTTCAGTAAACCCAAATATGGGTCTATTCAATTAACTTTTCTAATAAAATTTGATCAACTTTCAAAGTTTTGTGAGAAGAACTTAAATTTATGTAAATCGGTTACCTAAATTTGGGCATTAGATTTTCAGCGTGTAGAAAATACAATATTTCCAGAACAACATGTGAAAAGGGCATACAAACTTTTTGTAAACAAACCTTCTTATGCCCTTTTCTCACCACCCATATGACACCAACGCAAACCTTTAACATCACCGGGTAGGGGACACTTTCCCCTTCCCGATGATATTGGTGGTTTGCGGTGGCGACCCTCGGTTGGTGAGAAAAGGGCCTACAAAGGTTTGTTTACAAAAAGCTTGTATGCCCTTTTCACATGTTGTTCTGGATTTGGATTAGGTTGGGATTAGAAAAGGGTAGGGATTCTTTACAGTATGGTAGATATGATGTTGAGGTTAAGTCATTCATACACAGCAAAAAAATATTTTAATATCACATCAAAGTGGATGCACTTCAATCGTGTCGAAAAATGGTGTAATATTACTTGTCAAAAAGGACAACATTATCATTAATACAGTGCATGAGCTGACATTACGCTGCTTTAACTGCATTTGTTTATTGTTGTGGCCCTAAAAATTACATCAGATTTTCGACATGATTGAAGTGCATCCTCTTGGATGTAATATTAAAATTTATTTTTTGCTGTGTAATGAAAATGGTGTCAAATTTCAAAATGTCGTCAATTTTCATTCATTCATTCATTGCTATCTTGATAACATTCGATTGTAGTCAACGGATGGCAATCGATGTCCGTCGGTGATTGGTTCTAGATTGCGGAACAAAGACCGACATTAAATAAAGGAACGAAGCAGAAGCAGGAGAAGAAAAAAGTGATAACCCAGCTATCACTATGGTAAATGCAGCTTCGACAATACCTTTACCTATTAACGGGATAAACAAAGTTATTGGAGGCTCAACTTTGGCCAAACGTTGCTTCCGAAGCCATCATTTACCTTATATCATTAGTAATTAATTAATTTGGAAAATAATATTCTTATTAAATGCTCCATCAACAGCTCAGCAACCAACATATCGACATCGAAATCGATCTAATTCACATATAAACTTCAATGGGCCAAAGCAGTATGAGATCGCATCCCGATGAGCTCAAATTTGGGTAGAATTATCAATACCTCATGATTTGAACCACCATAATGATAGTTACTACTCCCCGATTGATCAGATATCGCGAAATTTTCACAAAATTTCGAACCAAATTAAAAAGGACTTGAGATTAGGGGCCAACCCCTAGATTTATGCCATTAGGTAGAAAACCACTCTCTGAAAATTTCAGCTCATTCGGATGTAGCACGAGCTGGAGCTCTTGATTTAAAATGTACAGGGGATTCAGGGGATATTGGTTGAAATGTATGGAGAAATAACATTCCTACACTCTTTCGTGCATAGAACTGGTTTGATTAAGCTCAGAATTTCAGCACACGTAGCTCAAACTATAAGGAACAACTTTGCTGAAGGCAGCATCACGATTCAAGTTAGTTTTATGGAGATAATAAGTGATAATAAGTAATTATGTGCATTCTGCTCGTATATTGCAACAAAATACAGGCAGCTTATGCAACGTATCAACTAGATTAGAGGGTGAAGCACATATTATGTCACGCTCATACAATCTGGACAAAATCATGGATTGCTCGGTTTGAAGGCTTCGGAATCGAGACTAATCTTCTGAAGGAGTTGGGCGACGAAGATCCAGCATACTACCGTAATTTTGTCAAAATGACAAAGCAGGATTTTGATTATGTCCTGTAGAAAGTTTCACCGGTTATTACCAAGCAGGATACCAATATGCGCAAGATCCGAAACATCCGTTAAAGTGGTCAATTAATGAAACTTATCCTAGAACTCTGCCTTTTTTTTCAAAACCATTCATTGACATCTTATTAATATGAATTCGAAGTTGGGATCGGAAAATTGACTCTTGGGTCCACGAAATGGCCTTTCAGTGGATCAAAATCATCCCTTAAAGAGGTAAACTCATGAAACTGATCCTAGAGCTCTTCTGATCGTTCGAAATCACTCATAGATGTCTCATCAGAATAAAATGGGAGTTGTGACCGGAAAATGGACCATTGAGACCACGTTATGGTCCGTTTTTTTTTTCAAAACCACTCATTGGCATCTTATCAGAATCAATTTGGAGTTATGACCAGAAATTTTACCCTGGGGACCAGTGCACAATGGTCCCCAAGTCGTATTTAGGAAGACAAAAATATTTGCGCCCAAACCATCACTTTTAGGTATATGGAGTATTGTGGAAAGTTTCTTCGTATTTTTTGCCAATCTATTTATGTTAGTGAACTTAGGGTGGTCCATAATTGGAGAATTGAAAATACAAACCTTTTCAATATTTGAGATAGACCAATGCAGTGTTCTTAAAAGTTGTATAATAATAAATTTTAATCAATTTTGCTTAAGATATCTCTTGATTATTACTTATGTTTATTTTAAACAAGCAGGTTAGGGTGGCCCCTAGAAAATCGGCTTTCTATAAATATCATTTTATAAGTTCATTTCTCGTAGAAACTTTGTTTTTAATTCTTTCAGAATTTTTTATGACGCATATTCCTGCTGAAGTGACTAAAGTTGATATCGCCTATATTTGAAAATTTATGGCTAGTTTTTGGGAACAACTTTGACTTTTTTAAATAAAATAAAATACTTTAAACAAAAAACGCTCTCACCGTTTTTTCACCAAAAATGAAGAAAAACACGATCTTTCAAATGAAATTCAAAGTTTGAAAACCGGTTTGCTCCTTTTAGAGATATTGACAATTCATAACAAAATTCGAAGAATATATCCATTAACATTCTAATAAAACAAAAATTGCAACATGATTGCGTCATCAATATGCGTCATCATAAGTTCTAAATGTTTTCAAAACAACGTTTTTACGAGAAATGAACGTATGAAAAATTATTCAACTAAATCTGTTTTCTAGGGGCCACACAAACCTGCTTGTTTAACAAAAATCATAGTTCATGAACCATAAGAGATATACATTTGGTTAAGACACTATTCGAATTGATTGTTCTACAACTTCTTAGAACATTGCATTGGTCTATCTCAAATAATAAAAAAGTTTGTATATTAGATTCACCAATTTTGTCGATCACCCTAATTTCACTAACATTAAAAGATCGGCCAAGAAATATAAAGCAACTTTCCCCAAGGCTCTATATACCTTAAACTGACGGTTTGGGAGCAAACATTTTTGTCTTCCTACATTATAATGAAGTAATGAAATTGGGTTGTTAGCGGAATGCTTTAATAAAACAGCAAAAAAAGGGTTATCTTCCATTTAATTCCACTTAATTAATTTTGGTATCCCTGACAATTAAAATTAAAATTAAATGGAAGATAACCCTTTTTTTGCTGTTTTATTAAAGCATTCCGCTAACAACCCAATTTCATTACTTCATTATGATGGCTACCAAGCCTTTGGGATTTTCCTTATTAGAGAGTTGAATAGATTTTTCTCCTTTAGCTTACTTAAATCTTTGGTTTTAATTAGTTAGGTAGGTTCCGATTCAACACATTGTAGTTTCATTTATATACCTGTGATCTTGACTTTTATACCTAGGGGATGAGTACTTAAGGGGGTTAGATTTTGATAAGTTCTTTAGTGGGAATGACACTGATGAAGACTGCACATTGTAGTCGAAATACGTATCTGTCATGGATACCAAAATTAATTAAGTGGAATTAAATGGAAGATAACCCTTTTTTTGCTGTTTTATTAAAGCATTCCGCTAACAACCCAATTTCATTACTTCATTATGATGGCTACCAAGCCTTTGGGATTTTCCTTATTAGAGAGTTGAATAGATTTTTCTCCTTTAGCTTACTTAAATCTTTGGTTTTAATTAGTTAGGTAGGTTCTGATTCAACACATTGTAGTTTCATTTATATACCTGTGATCTTGACTTTTATACCTAGGGGATGAGTACTTAAGGGGGTTAGATTTTGATAAGTTCTTTAGTGGGAATGACACTGATGAAGACTGCACATTGTAGTCGAAATACGTATCTGTCATGGATACCAAAATTAATTAAGTGGAATTAAATGGAAGATAACCCTTTTTTTGCTGTTTTATTAAAGCATTCCGCTAACAACCCAATTTCATTACTTCGGTATTTAAGTGTTTAATAACTTCTAGGTGCTTTTAACGGAATTTTTGAATATTATTCCACGTAATTCTTGGATTTTTTTCTCTCTTGACTTCTAATAGATCTTTCTTTGGAGTTTGGGACTATATTTAATGTTTATAGTTTTAATTCATCATATCAAAATTGAATCATCTTCTTCTTCTTCGCATTTAAAGCTTATTGCATATCGCATATTAGCTTATTGCGTGCTCTCAACTTAGTGTTCTAGATGCACTTCCACAGTTCTTAATTGAGAGCTTACGATGCCTGTACCAATTTTGCATTGGTATAATTGTGTGGCAAGTCCAATTATACTTCTATGTCCAGGGAAGTCGAGAAATTTTCCAACCCGAAAAACTCCTAGATCGGACGGGGAATCGAACTCAGCCACCTCCAGCATGGTCTTGCTTTGTAGCTGCGCCTTTACCGACTGAGCTAAGGGAGGTCCCAATTGAATCAATAAGCCATTTAAAAATACCGTCTTATTGAGTTATTTTTAATTTATGAGTGGTTTAAAAAAACTGCGTAGCTCTAGGATCAGTTTCATTAATTGACCACTTT